TGAAAACATTTATTTCTGAAACAAGACTAAAGCTTTGGAACCTAAGCCATCAGAAAGAGCAGAAGGGTTCAATCAGCATCATGTTTTTAACTTGTCCATTGTAGATCCTAGGAGCTAATATAGATCATGGCTAGGGACAGACATTACACAAACCAGTTTAAGTGATCAGAAACTGGTTTAAACCTGTAACACAATAGATGTTCAGTGCACATAAACCAGTTTGAAAATGGCTGAAACCACTTGGGAGATAAACCTGATTGAATGTAGTATTATACCATAACTGATTTGGGTCAAACCAGTTTGTGCAATGTCTGTCCCAGACTCCTGGGAGTAAAAATCAAACCCCCCAGCATCCCGGCATGCTCTGGGCTGGGCTGGGCAGGGCTCTCTGCTCCACAGCAGGGATGGCCCCTCCACTCTCCCTGCTAAGCAGGTGACTGAACCTGCTCTCGCTCTCCCCACTAAGAAGGAATTCCCCCCTCTTCTCTGCCTTGCTGAAGAGGTGTCTGTGTACTGGATAGCAGACCACATGCTGGCTATTGTCCATGCTGAATCAACAGGCGGAATTAACAAGTAGCTGGTAATGTCCCTCTGTTTTCTTAAATGGGTGATAAACACTGTTATCAATTCCCTACTGGGCTAATCAGAGCCTGGCCACACCCATCTCAGGTCAGCTCAGTTCTGTGGAAGGAAGGAAGGGCTACTCTTGCGTCCCCTGGCTTCTAGTCTAAGCCACTTCAGGCATGCCTGCATTTCCAGGATGTCTGCCATGTTACAAAACTGATTTAGCCAAGCCAGGTTAAACTAACCTGCAAAGATTGAATCAATTCAGGCTCAGGTTTTTTGAATGTCTATCCCAAGCCTATATGATTCTTCAGTTGCAGGTGCACTTTCATTGCACAAAAAATTAAATTGGAATCTTCTCATATACACATCCATAATAGTACGTTAAGGGTCATGGTGTTTACTAACAGAAATGGAACTCAGTGATGTACCTGATTACGAAAAGCAGCATCAGACATAGAGAACCACATTTAAAACTAGCCTTTACTGTTCAGTGCATAAAAATTTGCACCTGAAATCTGTTGCTGGTGCAGACAGTTATACTATCTGTGACTGCAAATGAACAAAATAGTAAAACTAAATTTAAATCTAACAAATAAAGAAGTCACGGATTTCTTTAGTTATATTTGCTAGTATTTTAAAGATGAATGAATTATGACCTATGGTTTTTCATACTCAAAATAATCACACATTACATTAATCCTAAACATGTATTAAAGGGATTGTACTACACTGAGTTGCTAAACATCTTGTCATAACAATACATCCCCCTTTATTATTTAGTTTGCATATTCTATAGAGATAATATTGCTTTCTTTCCACAGCAGCTCTGCAATCAATATTTTTTCTATCAGACTTACAGTTGTTTGCCTATGATTATCTTCTTAGTCTGCACCATACCCTACAATGTGCCTTGCGAACTAGGATACATTTTCCCTCATGACACATTGCAATAAGTGGATTTCCAGGTTTTAAAAAGGCATGACACAAAGAAACTTGTTTCTATGTTATATAGCACAGTCATCCAGCAATTAACATCTACTTAATTACTAGTGTTTAAAACAAATGCAAATGTTGGCCAATTAAAATTCAAGCCCAAGCTACAAATGAAACATCTAATTTTTCTCAAGTTGCAGTAATGACATTAGGTTACAGGAGAAATGTAAAAGAGATATTTTTCTTTCCTTTCCATTTGGGCCATATCAGGGAAAAATTAACTCAGGATATGCTAGACCATGAATGCAAGCTGAAAGACCAAAGTCATTTCACAAACCACAATGTGTTAAAGAGAACTACAAAGAAGGTATTGTGAAGCTATTCTCCTAATTAGGCCATAAAGTATAAAAGACACAAGAGAAATTGAAGCTACTTAATGTGAAGCTGTTTCATAACTCAGCTTCTAGACTACTTATTGTGATATTTAATGCAACTGTAGGTTCTAGCAATTAAGAGTCAACAAAGATTAGAAAGCTTTGCCAATTTCTCCAGATACAAATGACTTGTTCTAAGACAACACACCAGAGAGACATTTTGCTCCTAGTCAGCTATTCCAAGCATTAAAAAAAACAAGCAAAAATATTCTCATGAACTAAACACCCGCATGACTCTGCCACTGTTATCTGATTATAGCCATTACAACACAGAAGAATCCTTATCAAATCTCTTTTAAAATGTTTTCATAGAATTGGACATTTCCATCTGTTTTCATACTATTTTAACTATTTTAACAATATTTGAATAAAACATTGTTCCAAGGAGAGTAATTATATTCAAAAGAGAGGCCCTTTATCACATACAGTATCTCCATAGTTTTAGAGTCTTTTTTTCAATGCGATGATCACATGTTAAAAATTACTTCATAAATGCAATTCAGTGCTATTGTTGTGCTAGTCCAACAAGGGCCACTAAGTGGCCGGGAAAAGCAGTCATACTTCTAAAATGTTTGGAAGAGAAATAGGAAAAATTTCAAGCAAAACATATGAATACACTCTCTTAAGGCAGCAGCAAACTGGCTACCACCAAGTTGCTTGAATTTTGTAATGGGGACAAGTAACATTTATTTCAAACAATTATAAAACATAATTATAATTTAAATTTGAATACAATTTAAGCACAATTTAAATAGAATTAAAAAAAACTTAGGGTACAGTTATGGCAGTAGTGAGACATTTAACAGTGGTGCTAAAATAGCTATTCAGGAGTGTCCAAACTTTGACCAACTGCAGACCTCATTTGGCAAGTTCCCTGGAACTTGAAGAGATATATAATTTACATAAAATGGAACAGATTGCAATCAAAGGCAACATTAAAATTATTGCAAACCCCTCAGAAACAAAGATCCCAAGATAAGATGTTCCACTCTGTTCCAAGCATAGTATGACTGGTTAGACTCAACTGTTCTCGCTCTCAATGGCAAAAAGGAAAACCACAAGCTGCACTGTATAAAGTCTAGGAGGTGAACTTTGGCAATTCAAATATTTTTTTCTATTGTTCAGATACTGACAATACTATCACAATTTCTGAATCACTTAAGAAGATGCAATATTTGTGCTATTAAAATCACTTGAAGGCAGCACTATGAGATGGTATTTTGTACATTTTACAAAGTTTTAGGAAACAAAAGTATAAGATTACACCCAGTCCTGCCCAGGTACACAAGGACTGGCAATTGTGTAAAAAGCCCACGTTTTTTGCCAGACACTGTGAACTGACTGGGCCCAATCCAACTTCTGTTACCTTGTGAGTGTAAGATTACTGTATGTCTATAAGTATGAATCTCCTCAAACTGGATAAGAGGTTGAGATAGGTTGGTACACATGGACCTGCTGTCTTCTCCTTATGCCAGCCAGGTTGCCTGGCTTGCATAGGGCAAATATTTGATTGAGAAATGCATACTGCACCCATTCAAAAGGCTATAGTACCAACTGTATGCATTTCAGTACCTCATGCAATCAAGTCAAAGTAACAGGTTCAAAACCTCTCATAATATTATGCCAAGCCTACACAATCTAGAAAATGTTTAATGATAACAGTTTTGTACATTTCTTTTAAGTGTCTGTTTTTTGCTTAAATTAGGTTAAACCACTTGAAACTTTTATTCCCAGTGAGTCCCGGGTATCTGGTGTCTTAAAACAGGAAATTACTGTCATTTGGCTTACACCAAACAAAACCATTAAGAAAAACATGGTCTCATGTCCCAACAGACCCTAGACAAGCACTTAGGATGAACAATCAGGATCATTTTACACATTGTCTCATTCTCATTCCACCATTGGTTAACAATAGATTGACAGCTAGCATTACCAGACCAGCATTCAGCATCACTGCTACATGAAATTGCCAAGGGGAGGGGAGTTGGAATTAATTCTATCTGTAACTATTTTTAAGAAAATTGATTGACAACATGATCTCAGTTTCAGTCATGTCATATTTTTAGAAACAGATATATTAAGAAAGAAGAGGGGTAATTTTATAAATAGCATCTAATGAAAACAATTACAGGACCAATATTTTTATTAAAGGACAGATTTTCTGAAAATGAAAAGTAATGGAAAAGGTAAGGGCAGAGAGGGTAAAAAATTCACTTTGTTCTTTTTGTTCATTTTCAGGCTAATAATTTTAGCATTTCAGTCTTTCCAGACTCTGCTTCATTGATAAATTTATTTCAAATAATTGTAGGTTGATTAAAAAATCTTCTGGTAGGTGACAATTTGAAGGTAGTACAACATGAAGGTTAAAAATTTGATAATTTTAATACAACCCCTAATTGAGGTAATTTACCATTCATACTATTTTCATTCAATGTGGATTGTCACTTTACCCATCCATTCTTACATAGTTCAGTAATGATAAGGTTAGCTTTGAAGTGATTCTTTTATGTTAATGACATTCTCCACATGTTGGGTCACACTTGGGGTTAAAGAACTGAAAATGTAAATGAATGCCCATTAGGATGGGTAATAGCTGGTCATTAACTTTATATTTTATTAATTCTGCCAGCCTTAGTCATTCTAATTAAAGAACAGCGCTAATTTTTGTCAACATATCACATGACTGTACTGTCATGCTGATTCCCCCCCCCGAACTTAAATTCTATTTTTTTCTTTTACTTAAATTTTAAATGAAACAAAATCATAAATTGTTTTACAGAAGCATTTCGGAATAAATCATTCAAATACATGTGTTCATTTTAATTTCACTTCCTTAGTTTAGAAGGAGAGGTAACAAGAGACTGTCACCATTTGTGAATACTGGTATAAAGGGCATGAACACTTATATAGCCTGATCTATCACAATGAAGAGAAGTTTTAATTATTTAATTTAAAACACCCTTACATGACATTTGCCTTTGCATTTAACCCCTGTTTAAATTAAAAGTCTGTTTGTAATCCTTCAAAGCTAATTAAAAATTGAAGGTAGAGTAATTGTTTACTTACAAGTTTCCATGCCTTCATCATCATCATCTGCAACAGGCTTATCATATGACTTGTCAATTGCAGCTCTGAAGCTCTCATTGCAGCCTCGTCCTCGGATGATCCGTGGACGCGGACGATGGAAAGGAATGTCGCCATTCAAAGTCACCTCAGCAACGGCTGTCTGCAGACTTTCTAATGAACTGGATTTCTTCAGACCTAATGAAGGTCCCACATCTCTGGTTGGGGAACCTTAATGGTTAAAAAAAAGTTAATTAGGATTAGTATGGATTACTGTATGCTTGATTATTCACATCTATAGTGAAAGACTACAGAGATATAGTTAACACTAGTCACATCATCTATATATAATCTGAAGGGAATTCTCTGAAGATTTGTTGGTCTCAACAACAAAAGAGTATGTCAAGTCATAGTCAATGGAACTGACAATGTTCTCAATTTAGTGAGAAGTTACCACCATCACTATTGTTTTACTACTAGAATGATAAATTACCAAGCTTAAAACAACATCCTAGATTAAAAAATCATCAGTGATATTAACCTAAATGGCATGAAGACAAATTGGTTATTTCTTTCAAAGCAGAACACTTCTTGTATGATCATCAGGAAAAATGCAGAATAAGATTTTACAGTCATAAAATTATCCTACATTTTCAGCATAAGCTCTCAATAAAATGCTAATTGCTTAGTAATTTTGAGAAGTGTTTTTTCAGCTCAGTTTTAAAGACATACCACAAAGTGTACAAATTTTATTATAAACTGAACCTAAATAATCTAAATGGGTGGGACAAGATCATGTACTTGTTGAAGGGGCATGAATTTGGGACCCAGTCACTCAGGTAATACTTGACCTCACCTGAGGGAAACCTGCAATCCTGGGACTTCAGAGTTCAAGGGTAGTGCTGGGAATTGGTACCAGCCAAAAACATTTTGAAGCACTTAATATAGACTGTTTTGGAGCATGGATAAGATATTAATGGACTTTCTTACCCATCTCTTTATTTTTCTTCTTCTCAGGTGCAAACAAATTTTTTTTGATTTTTTATGGCAGTGAAAGCCAACCTTTTTGGCAGATGAGCCACAAATTAGCCCCACACTCCTCCTGAGTACCAATCCATCCCTTTCCCCTCCCCAATTAACTGCTTTGCTTTCTGTTCCCCGACTCATGCCCAGTGCTGCAGTAATGAAGTTTGCCCGGGGCAAAACTCGCAGTGGCAGCCCGCCCCCGCCCTACGCACAGATCTGTGGGGCACACCCCACCATGCTTGCCCAGGAGTGCACACAGCAGCAGAAGCCGCCCTCCCCTCGTCCTTAAGCCCCCCCAAACGAGCCGCTCACATCTCCATTACGTGCCCTGCCCCAGCTGGGCAGAGCCTATTGGCACCACTTTGCTTTGGTACCTGGGGCTGTCACCCCACTTGCCCCCCCTTGCTACAGCACTGCTCGTGCCCCTGCCCAGTCAGCTGTTCTGCTCTGCTCCCTGCCCTGTGCCCCATGCCTGATTTGCTGCTCTGCTTTTTGCTCCCTGCCCCCTATCTGCCACTGTGCTGCCTGTCCTCTTCTCAGTCTGCCCCATGCCACACAGAGGCTGCACATGCCACAGGTTGGCCATCCCTGTTTTATGGTAATATAAGTTTCCTCCATGTTTCCTGCTTACATGGGGCAATTGAAGGGGATGAGGACTGAAGCAGGGTTCATTTCCCTGAGAAAGTACTCAGTTTTCAAGTTTGAGAAACAGCGAGCTAAACTGAGACCAAATTAACTCAAACACCCTGTTGCCAAAGTTCTCTTCCAGAGCTGCCTTTCTGATATGATGAATTTGTAGAAAAATCATCTCTGTCACAGGACTGTAGAAATCCTCTCATCAGGTTCATTCAGAGGTCTACAAAAAGAACCCTGTCATTGGATCTGAGACCACAGAAACAAACAAGCCCCTACAGATTCACTTGTAAGTTTAAATTTAATGAACTCACACCTCAGAGGAGAACCCCCCTCTCATGGACAACTGATAGCACTGGAGGGCAGAGGTCAGAGTGATAGTTGGGGGCAAGGAACAGCTGGGGTGACCAGCTGGGAACAGGGAGTTCTGACGGCTTCCCAGCTATGCAAACAAATCTCAGACCATGTTCACCAAACTTCTGTGAGCATAGTCTGAAGTTTGCAATTATAATAATTGATGCGATTATTTCACATAGCTGTCATCTTTCTCCATCAAATAAATGTTTCCAACTTAGTCATTACTCAAAAAATGTTATGAATTGTTTTCTTTTATATTATGCATCTATTTTATATTCTTTCACTGATAACACAGTATAGCAAATGCGGTGAGTAGTTTATTTTCATGTTTTAGTTTGTTAAAACCAATTCAAAGACAAAATAAATAGTATGCTAATATTTTGAAAGAGAAGAGTAAAAGACAAGGCAGCCACAAATAAAGCAGCTGGTTTATAGATTTAATTTTATATATAAAGGGAAAAAAGTAGCTGCTGACATTGCAACTTGCTGCAAAGTTTCTTATTTCATATTCTGGCTTGCAATCTTTTGAAATGAAAAGTCCATGCATCTTTTCTTAACTACTGAATAGCTACATACTTTTTTTGTAAACAGTAATTATAAAGCAAGAATTTGTGTGTCTATTTATGCTTGTAGAGGACATTAAACAAATTCCATTTCCTGCTGCCCAATACAGATCATTGTAAGAACAATATTTATGTAAGTCACGCTTTCCCAAAGGAAAAGCTAGATGGGGTATGACCTAATGTTCCTAGCGCACTGTAAAACTAATAATGGATTGCAGAAATGGTAAGAATATTTATTAAACTTGGGTGGTCATCACCATAAATGTAGACAGGTTTAGGAGCTTAAAGATGGAAGTACACCCAAATAAGAAATGTAAGTACTGTGAAATAGCCACAGACAATATTGAGGGTATTAAAAAAAAATAGCTGTATAACAGCTATTTCATAGTAAGGCAACTGTTTCCAAAACATATGGCTGTCTTCCTGTAAACTGAGCAGATAAGGTTAGAATTTTGTGCAACTGAGATCACCAACCAGAAGACCAGTGCTTACCTACAAACTCTCGAGACGCTTGGTTATTTTTTTTTAAACAAAGTTATATCCCGTATCTATGAAAACATCAGAACTTGGTCTTCTCCATGACAGTGCTAATATAAAAATAACATTTTCTTCCATAATAAAATATCCACCTAGCACAATGCAGTGCCAGAATTACCCAAGACAGCTCAGATCCTGGAAGCAACAGGGCTGATTACCTGGGCCAGAATGCCACAGTAGTGCAGCTGCACTTTTTGCAGTAGGCAAGCTGACACATTCAAGTCTTGGTACTGTATTTAAAAGGAACACAAAATTTTATCTTTCCTACCCAAATCACTTTTGCATAAGTAAGGCATGGGCCTTTTATTATTTTAAAATTCAAAGACATTGGGATTTTCCTGAAAAATTCTTTAACAAAGGCCCTTTGATGTAGCCAGCCATCTGAAACAATGATACTCCCTGTGAAAACCATTCCACAGGCAAACATTCCCTTCATGCCAACATAAATGTTCATCCATGCCACCCTGCCCCCCACAATACACACACACACACATATATACAGGGCCCATACATGGGCTATGTACAGACAGTCAAAAAGCAAAAGGCAAATTGATTCAGTCTTTGCAGGTTAGTCTAGGCTGCAAAGACTGAACCAATAAGCAAATGAATAGATATTCACTTTTGATTCAGGAAATGCAGCCACATGCCTGCAGTGGCTCAAGCCAGAAGCCAGGGGGTGATGCAGCACAGCTTTCTGGCATGTAGCCAGCATGAGCTGTTCATCTTCCTACTGCTCCCAAGGTCTCTGGGATTTGTAGTCCAGACTCACAACAGCAGGACTCTGTAGGGTTGCTCAGCACTTCCTATTCGTGCTTCCAGGTGCCTCTGGGACTTGTAGTCCACAGTCATACTCTGCCACACTCATACACCCCATCATACTGTAACATACTCCTTCAGACCAGCACTCTTCTGCACTCTTGTGTCAGGGTAATATATATGTGCTCTACTCAGCTTTGTGCAGGTCTCATGTCTACATGGCTACCTATGCACTTCTTTCACTCCTTTGTTTCCCAGGGCAGCGAGACAGCAGCAGAGGATGGAAACATCTGGACATGCCTTGTTCATCCCCCCATCAGCATCTACTCAAGGCCACTGTGACAGGATGCTACGATAGGTAGACATATGGTCTGACCCAGTGAACGGCAGTTTTTTATGTGCTTATGGATACATACCATGTACCCCTCCACTACATGCGCATTTCCCAGCTTCATCATACACACTAGGAGGACAAGCACAGTCCCCTACCAAACACTCAACTTCAACATACACATGCACCTGAGCCCACACACCCTCCTCACAGTAGACCTCATGAGCTCCTTGCATGTGTCGTTCTTTTATTTGATCAAGTAGCTAAGTGCTCATTCACTCATTTTTTGCCCCTAGATACAAAAACCTTCACATTTACATGCATATATACTGCACAAGCATCTATATTACCACACAGAACATGTGTACCCATGGAGACATGTTCCTCAATATTATGCATGCTTTTTACTTCCTTCAGACTCTTTATTTTCCCTTCCCTGATGTTCTGAGTTTCCCTGCTCTTACAACTAAACTAGACTTTCTCCTCCTCTGATAATATATTAAGAAATGATATACTTCCATAACTTTGTTGGTGATTTGCAAAGAGAAAAAAAATTCACACACACTCAGTCAGAGGATGTGTGATATTTCCTTTATCACCGGTTAATTTAAAAGGTCCATAAAATTAATTTTAATTGAAGTTCCTCGCTTAAATTATTTAATACTCCAGCTATTAAAAATTATTTTGGATCTGAAAACGTTAACAACAAAACTAATATTATCAGCACCTAAATTCAAGGAGTTAACTTCCCAGTTCCTATTCCTGCAACATTTCATGCTAAATGGTTAAAAATTAACAATGCAACTACAAAGCATCAGATATTGAATAGATAAAAATCTGTCCTTTCTGATTTGTAAACTTATGCAAAGACACAAGGGACATTTTATTAATTGTTTTTGGGACATGCAAAATAAATATTTAAGCCAATTTACTTCTCAGCAGCAACACTATTAAGTTTGATATGCAATTCTTAGTTTGATCCAGACCGTAATAGCAACAGTTCTGGCTTTCGGGAAGTACAATCTGACAATTACATCCACTTCTAAAAACATATTTGTTTGTTTTTGGTTTTGGGGGTTTCTTTTTAATTTTTTTTAAAGAGGCTACACACAAAAAAACCTCACCAGGAATAAAAACAAGTGATTTCCATAAGCTCTCAAAAGCACTTTTAAGCTTCTTGACAAGGTGCACATGGACATGCCAACCAAATGAAGTTACCACACGCTTAAGGCTGGATAAGTGAGCCATGCTCAATTGCTACTGAATATGCTTCTAACCTCTGGAAGGAACTGTAAACACTGAAAGGATTAGACAGTTCAAGTGAACTGACAGAAGAAAAATAATTAAAAATCTATTATAGTAGCACATGTAGGGAGAACTTTACTTTCCATTTCAACCAATATTATTAAACCCCATTGCACTTTTTGCTTCATTTGAGGTTATTTTTTTAAAGCAAATACTCACTAAAATTCTCTGCTTTACATTGTTCATCAAAACGTATCTTACCAAACATATTAAACATTTGTCTTTTGTAACCTGACACAAAAATTTTCAGACAAACTGCATCAAGTGGTTCATTTAACTACCACATCCATCATTACTAATAGGAGAAATCCACTGGTTATATACAGATTCTAGTTAACACCATGGAAAAATAAACTAAGAACACAATAAATGCACTTTCCTTTTTCCAGACACTATGGTTGATTTAGTTATTTAGCCCAAGAGGTATAATGGTGAACCCAAATGGTTGGCCTTCAGGAGAGTTAATCCCAGTTTTCCACACACAATGGTTTGCAGATTAAAGTGTCATGTGCCTTTTAATCTAAGTGAGATATTTTCTTATGGAATATACAGGCTTTTAGCCAGTTGTTATACAGCAAGCTAAAAAATATTGAAATCCATTTTGGATAAATTAGAGTCCAATCTTCAAGTTTTTATGCACATGACCAATGGAGATAGTTCCAGGAGTACTACGTTGCAGAATTGGTTGTGAGGCTCCAATGCATCTAAAATATAAACATTTAATCTTATTAACTACTGGTGACACATTGTGGTGGCACAGGGAAGCATGTGCCACCCCAGACTTCTGCACTGATGGTGGAGCATAGGGCTGAAGCCCAGGTACAGCCAGGGCCCAGCAGCAGTGTGGGCGGTGGCAGCAGGGTGATTTCTGCACTGACAGTGGGGCTGTACCCCATTCAGACCAGCATCTGGCAGCAGCAGGGACAGCAGCAGTGTGGAGTTGTGCCCCTCCCCCCCCCCCACTGTCAACACTTACAGATTACCTCTGTTATTAACAGTGTAATCGCATTGCATTTAGTCCATTGGGACACTCAATTTGTAAAGTTAAATAGATATAGAACACAGTCTTTCCTAGATTGTGTTCTAAGTCAGCAAGATTTACTTCTATTGTCATATAGGCTAAGGACAGAAGTTACACATAAACCGGTTCAAGTGATCTGAATCTAGTTTAAACCTGTAACAGATCAGAAGTTCAGTGCACATAAACCAGTTTCAAAATGGTTGAAACTGGTTTAAGATAAACCTGGTTGACTAGTATCAGACTTAACCGATTTGGGTCAAACCAGTTTATGAAACTTCTGTCCCAAACCCCTTCCTGGTTCAAGTTAAGTCCCAGTCCCCCACCAGCTCAGCATGCTTTCCAGCCCTCAGCTAGGCTGTGCAGTTGGGTCCAGCTAAGAAGGGTTGGGGAGTGGCAGGGACTTCCTCCCTCCCCACTCCCCCCACCCCAGGCAAACCCCATCGGGGGGTCTGGGGCCCGGGGCCCAGGAGGGGAGTTAAGAACCCCTTCCCTCACTCAAACTTACTGCTAGCTGCAACAGTGAACTATAAATCCCAGAGACATGTGGAAGCAGAAAGAAGAAATGATGAGCAATGCTGAAGAGGAGTCCTGCTGCTGTAATTCTGGACTGCAAATCCCAGAGACCTCAGGGGCAGCAGGAAGACGAAGTGAACACCCCCCCCCATGCTAGCTGTGCTCTAGCTTCCCCCCAGCTTCTGATCTGAGCCACTGCAGGTATGTGGCTGCATTTCCTGAATCAGAAATGAATGCCTGCCCAGTTGTTTCTCAGTTTAATCTCTGCAGTTTAGACTAACCTACAAAGACTGAATTGATTCAGCCTCAGGGTTTTTGACTGTCTGTACTTGGCCATAAAGGTTATCTTCCTATCAGTTCATTACATATTGTTTCCAGTGCAGTATTTACCTTGAAAATGTGGTTAAATGGAGAATCACTTGTAAGCTATTAATCATAAATATTGTACAGAATGTCCTATTCCCTGATTCATGCTAAAATATGTAATATTTTTAGGTTTAAAAGGTGAATTGTTCCTAATTAGAGCTAAGTAATGTTACTATCTTCTCTGTATCTAGTCTAATTAAAATAGCATTCCAAGGGTCAAAAGCTAACTTGCATTAATAAATCATAAAGAATCATAATTGCAGTGGGTGCACTATTTTAATTAATAATAAAAATATACTTTAAAAGCTATTTTTCATAATTGTTGTGTGGCATGTGTTACCATGAGTGGTATATGGAACAGTTTCTATTTACATATTCTTTTGTTTCAGTACTATGCTGTGTTTTGAATACTCAAGGCAAATAAACATGTACTAATAATCTACAACTCAGACTTACAATATGTAGTTGATGGCCACTTAATGAAAAAATAGAAGCTTTAGAATTAAAATAATTACTCAAAAATCATATTAATACAGTAGTAGCTAAACAACCAGCTCTTTTAAACCATCTCACTGTAAATTAGAGTTCAAGGCCAGAAGAATAGACTTCAAGATATTTCAAAGAAAAAGGAAATCAAAACAGTAGTGAATATGTATGAGTTTCAAGAAGGCAGGAACTGGTGTTTACCTGTAGTCTTAATGTATAATCCATCTGAATTTACTATTCAGATATTTACCTCTTTAGAATTTTCTTTTCTTCTGTATAACTTGATTATCCACAACAAAAGAAAACAGCCATGCAAGTATTGGAATATTCATGTTTCCATGCAGTTTGATTGGCAGTTCTGTAATTGTGGTAAGATGCTTTGACCAAGGTTTCTATAGCAACAGCCTTACTGTCAATTCTTACCTGTTTTCTGGTCATCCATTGTACTGAGCTTAGTCTCGTCAGCTACTGTTAAAAGGTAAATGTATAACGGTTAGCCCAGTTAGTGCCCATGCCCCACATGCAACAAACATTCCAATTCTTTTTAAGTTAGGGGGCTCTGGCAATGTCACACTTCATGCAAATAATCTGCAACATTAAGCAAATGTTCCCAATAAAAACAGCAACAAACTAGTAACCATCATGCAATTTGTCAGTCATTTTCACATCACAGGCAAGTACAGTATGTTATTTACATGTTAGGACATCACAACTGGCCAAGGCAAGTCAAAACCTTACTGTCCTTTCATGAAGGAGGTGAATTAAGAACTTTAGTGAAGATACCCACAAATATTATGAAGCAACAAGCTCTTATTACATTTCATTAATTCTGGTCACTTAAAGTTTAAAGTCCCAAAATTTGTTGTTTTAGGTTACTAGATTCTGCACTTCAAAATATGAAACCACTGACAGATCTATAGACACCTTAAAAGTGGTTTATTACCAATCAATTCTGTTCTTAAAACATAATGCCTTTCCTGGTTGCTGTTACATAGGTTTCTAGCATATATATTTCAGTTGGCCCCTAACACAAGGACTCCCTATTCTTCCATTTTTCAAATAAACCACTTGCGCACCCATTCATGTCCCCATTATTTTCAGCAAGACTGACTGTATGCTAGGCCAAGGCCAAATAGGAAAGAACGGTGAAGGCTATTTTAGTTACCAGGATGAAGTAGCAATACTTCTATCTTCCCAATGCCAACTCAACAGTGGTCATGATTTTTTATTTTTTTTAAAATGTTTTAAGTAAACTTTTTCATCTTCTATGACATTCATGTATATTTATATTCATTTTGCAAGTTCACAATAAATAAAGGGATAGACATTTTAAAAGTGTATGAACATAGAGAGGTCATTTAGCCATTCGTGCTGAAAGTACTTTATACCATTCCATTTCACATTCACATCTAATCTCTGCATATAAAACAGTCATTTGGAATTATAAAACCTATATGTTTGGATTTAAAATAATTAAAGGAAAAAAAAAAAACACTCACTACCTAAATCCATGCTTTTGGATTTTCGTGTTTTAACGAACTCCAACTGACTGGCATCTGAAAATTGCTTTGTGCGCTTTTCTGACATGCTCTGTCGTCCAAAACCCTCTCGCTGGAAGGCAAGCACTGGATCAACATCTGGACTAAGGGTGCTGTAGGGAGGGGGGAAAAAAAATTTTAAAAAAATCAGGCAGACATTTATCAAGATAATGACACCTCCTTAGTCTGTGGCATAAAGCCTTTACTTGTCACATAATTTCTACCAACTGATAAAGCAAACAATGTTATATTAGCTACCTTAATTTCAGTGGTTTCAATGACAGATCTGGTCTGCTGTGTCTAAGCTAAATTAAAAAAAACTATCAGTGATTACAAGCTTAGTAAACTATGATGGAAGAATTGTTTAACCAAAGTGTAAGCAACCTCAACCCATGCAGTAAAGAGTTTACAGGTGTAATACAGGAATAATTTTTGAGCAAGTGTATAAAGATGATCTCTTGTTCTTAAGAGTATGTAGGGGTTAATCCTTTAAAATCTGAAATTATTGAACCCCTTTACTTGATAACAAAACAGGATTTGATTCTTCTGTAGCACAGCTATGAACTATCACTTCTGAAGCTTATTTACATTTTTCTGAACCCCTACAGTTAAAGACTTAGAATGGATGAAGAGAAGGAATAGTCTGCTGGTGAAGCACTGAACAGAGACTCCAGGTGTCTGAATTCAATTCCTGGCTTTTCTATAAACTTCCTGTGCAGTGTTGGTCAGCTTGTTTAAATCCTTATTAGACAGGGCTCACAAGACTTCACCACCTCACAAGAATGCTGGGAGGATAAATTCATTATTTCTTGTGAAATGCTGATAAATCAGGATGCATTTGAAGAAAAAGAGTAAATGTTGCCAAAGGAAGCCAGTTTGGTATGACAACCTAGAAGGAGTGTAATTTTTTTTACTCTGCAGCGCCATCGTGCAGAATGCTTCATAAAGAAGTCTTTCCTATAACACTGCCGGCCTATAGCTTCACCTAGATCTAACTGGACAAAGGAGGTAGGCATTAGCTTATAAGTAAGGATATGAATATGTAAGGATATGAAGGGCAGGAGATTGCTTTGTGAACCATGGCACACAGGCTGAAGTCCCCAGAAACTACCAGTTTTGCAAATTAGAATATGTCCCACAATAGCCATGGTGAACAAAAGCCCAGGTAAGGACTTAAGGATTTAGATCCAATCTCTGATGTCCACAGACAAAAAGCAGAACATGCAAAACTATCCAGGGATGGAACATTCTCTACAATGCCCCTCCACACAGCAAAAAAAGAAGAGAGAAATTATTTCCCCAAATTTCACAAAATCACATTAATTAGCGAGGCAAGGATTTTTGTGGGTGAGATTTTTTATTGGACAATTAACCATGTATACAATCTTGAGCAGAAATTAAGTCTCATCTGATGCATCTATTTCCATTAGTGGCTACCAAATGTTCACAATTTTAAAGTCAAAGCCTACGTGTAATGTACTTCGATGTATCCCAATGACAAGTGAAAAAATCCAAAATGTGGTTCACAATCTATAACAGCCATTTCTCCCTGGCAAGTTGATATGTATCACTTTTACTGTTTTTTTGTAATGTACTTGCCATTTTAGGGTAGAGAATAATACAGGTATTTTGCTCAATGGGAAATAAGCTAATAGCCCACCTGTATTTTTAATTTTGCAATAACAAAAGTTTTAATGCTTTGACATACATTCCAATTTAGAAAATTACCTGTTGTCAAAATACCACCTGGGTATTGTAAACAAAAACATTAAGAGCAAGAAGGCAGATCTGTTAAAGCCACTAGCATGATTTAGATGGCAAATGCCTGTTAATTTTGTTTGGATTTCAGAATTCAAATGCCTTCAGCAGCTTTGAAACCTTCAGTCGAAAGGTTTGTACCCTGTAGGTATGCACTGGTTTATTTTGTAGCACACAAATGGGTTTGGAGATATGTTTAAGAATGAAAAGGTACACGTGATAAGCATGTAATATTTTGACTTACAGAGGCCTTGAACCTACTTCTTGACAACTGACTGTGGTTCAGGCCCATAGTCCTTATGTTTATTTATTGCAACAAATTTCTAGAATACCTATATCAGTGCTACCCAAGGCCCCAGGTTCACCACATGCTGAAGGCTTTTACTGATTTTAAATTGTTACAAAACGTAACTATTTAATCCTTATCATACTATCATGGCTAGGAACAGACATTACACATAAACTGGTTTAAGTGATCAAAAACTGGTTTAAACCTGTAACAGAACATAGGTTCACTGCACATAAACCAGCTTCAAAATGACTGAAACTGGTTTAAGATCAACCTGGTTGAATGTAGTACCAGCCTTAACTGATTTGGATCAAAGCAGTTTATGCAATATCTGCCCCAGACCCCTTCCTGGTTTAAGTTAAACCAGTCCCCCAGCATCCCAGATGTCTGCTCCAGGGAACAGGGCTGGCCCCGCCCCTCCACTCCCTAGCCCAAGCTCTGGCAAAGACTGCACACACAGCAGGGTCTTCCCCCTGCCCGCCCCCTTTGGCACTCACTGCTGAAGCAGATCTCCCCCTCTTTTCCTCCCATCTCCCACAGCACAGACCCCAGTCTCATGGACCCTTGCCAGCACATGGTATGCTAGCTAATGCTCAGAGGTGTAGAGGTCTGTGTGTGCATGTCTCTAATTTCACTGGGACAGGAAGATAGAACAGTGTTCACTTAGGGCTTTTTGAAGCTAATCAACAGGCCAGCTGGTATGTCCCTCCGTTCCTTCCTTGAAAAAAACTGTTTAAGAAGAGCTTGAAGTGAGAGGCTTTTGTTTGTTGATGGGCTGATAAACACTGTTACCAACCCCCTGCTGGCTCCCTCGCCTGTCAGGTTTGCAGGCAATATGAAGAAGCAGGGAGAGGGAGATTGAAAAGCTCAGTATCATCAACAGATGCATGCACTGCACACACCCCCTTTGCCTCATAGTACTAGCTGGGATCTGGGGGTAGCAACACTTGAGCAGTGAGCATGGAAAAGCCTGGGACTGTGCAGGCCAGGTAGGGGTTTAAACTCCTCCCTAATTAGAGCCTGCCACACAACTGTCCCCCACTCAGCTCAGCACTACAGATGGGAACGGAGGGCTGCTCTAGTGCCCCCTGGCTTCTAGCTTGAGCCACTGCAGGCATGTGCCTGCATTTTTTCAGTCCATAGAGGATGTCTGTGCAGTTGCAAACTGATTCAATCTAGGCAGGTTAGACTAACCTG